ACCCCGAAGGCAAAACCGTGCCAGCTTGGTGGAAACCCTTACCTAAACCGGGTGAGGGCCAAGCTTCAGCTTCAGGTGGCCGCCAAGGCGCACACGCCAGGCCACCACGACCACGATCCTTCGGTAACGTCGATCCGACATCTGGTGCCAGCAGCTACGACATGCTACAAGACGCCCCCGAGCGTGGAAACACGCCTTCTGCGTCCTCTAGCGAAACGCCACAGGTAGCGGCCCGTCGGGGCCGCCTACAAGGCGTACCACCACCTCCAGATGCAGTCAATACAGGGGACCAACTACGGAGAGCTACAAGGAACCCTCTTGCCTCTACCGGCTCTGGGGCTCCTCGACTACCTGACTGGACTAGATTCGACATCCAACACAGTCTACAGAGTCTCCGTAGTCACGAACCTCACGTCGTGAAAAAGGAACTCCGAAAACTACATCTGCGATGGCATCATGCGAAGGAACCAAAGATGAGGCTAATCCTCGACAAAGTGGGGCTTGATAAAGTTCGACTGAACATGATCAAGGAAGTTTGCGATACCTGTCGGGAATGCAGAGCATGGGAACGTCCAGGAAACTCAACACTACCCACGGTGAGCCTTCCTGGTAACTGGCTTGACGAAGGTGAAATGGACCTCATGTTCTACAAAAAGCGGACCATATTTCACATTATGGATCGCTGTATTCGCCTGGCAGCTGGCCTAGAAATTTCCGACAGAGACCGTGACGCTATCATTGACGCCTACCACTACTGCTGGATTGCCTATCACGGACCCTTCAAAGTCTTATACTCAGACGGAGAAGGCGCCCTGAATAACGATGCCGCTGAAACCATGATGGCCAACAAGGGCACGGAACTTCGCATCCGAGCACCTGGCCAACACGCGACTTCAATTGAGTCACGGAACGGCATCCTCAGAGGCGTCCTCCACATGATTGAGGAAGAACTGAATAAACACAACATCCCTGTTGTATTCACTAGAGTATTGGCGGAAGGCATCTTCGTTACTAATGCTTTTACGTTTTATATCGGAGTATCGCCATACCAAGCACACACAGGGCGTCAGCCCTCCTTCCTTCCCGATCTCGATACCCTTGACTTTCCCAAGGGACCCGAGACTTCAGGACACGAACGAGAACGCCGTGTACGGGAAGTCAGCCTAGAAGCTATAACTCAGGCCACTGCTGTGGCCAAGACAAATCGGGCTCTTAGGGCTAAAACGACTCCTGATGGTGCTCGCCTTTATTCTGCAGGGGATTTGGTCGATTACCACCGACCCACTGCCACCAAGGACGACCATGGAGGCTGGAATGGCCCATTCCCGGTGATCCGTAATGTGCCTGAAAGAGGACATATTGTTGTCAAGGCAGGATCTCGTGAGGTAATTGTGATGTATCCTGATGCTCGTCACACACTATACATTGAATGCCTCCTCACACGGGAACTTGGCATGGATAATATGGCCATGCAAACCGCCCTTACATATGTGGCACACCTCGGCGCAGGGAAACCTGCCAAAGTTTTCGGCTATATCCCCGATTACAAGGGAAACCTTAATCTTTCAGACGACAGCAAGTTTCACCCGCGCGTACATCTAGCACTGCAGTATCTCGTACGAAACTACTTTCGAGTAGAACATGTAGTGGCAGTTAGATTGGCCAAAAGTGTGTCAATCCTACCTGCAGTAAAGTACGCCACCGGGTCTACGCTGATCCACTATGACAACGATATCAGCCCGCTTTCCACTACTACGAGTGTGTGGGCACCGGCCTAAACATTTCTCAGATCACTGGTAGCACTCATTCCAGACTCATTCAATGCTTGACTTCACGTGTCCCTTCCTTAGGATTTCACGACGACCTGGCTAAATATCAGCACTCAAGCAACACGTCTGGAGAACACGATTCGCCTGGAAACAGGCCTCCTCCAGACACCCCGGGTGCTTCATCGCCGAGCGAAGGTCGTCTGTCGACAATCTATGAGGAAAATGAGGAACATAATATCGAAGCTATGATGCTGGAAGAGTGGTACGACGAACTACGTATGGACCTTCATCCTACGACGACTACCGACGATTATCTTTACTGCGTCCCAACAACCATGCTGCCTGACCAATGTGTTTTGGTTTCAGCATCTATGGACGAAGAAGATACCATATCATCGGTCACGCTCGGAGACGAGCCTGAACCACGAGAGTCCTGTATAGTCTCTCTCTGCTCAACCACACCTGACGAGAGCTACTCTCTTGATAGTGATGAATATGGTCCTTACGTTGAGTTATGTTTTACATCAGAAATGTCAAAAATAGTGTTAGATCAGACTCAACTTGCACAGCTCGACACCGATATGGTCGCAACGATGAGAGTATATGTATCCTCTGCTGCTAAACGTGCTGTGGTCGTTAAAGAAGATGATCTACTGACCAAAGCCGACATAGCAGCACACCCAAAGGAGGTTAGTGAAGCTTTGTATACTGAGCTCAAAATCTGGATTGACAACCGATGCTTTGAGATGTATGATCTATCCAAAGCTTCCAACATCATGACATCCAGGTATGTATACAAGTGGAAGTTTGTAAAGGTGGGTACCGAGAACGTTAAAACCATTCGTCTCAGACTTGTCCTTCGCGGATTTATGGATACTGAGGCTTTCGATGTGGAAACATTCTCTGGAACCGTCCGAAGGCAGTCCCAAAGACTCCTGGCAAGTGAGGCGGCATGCCATCCAGAGTGGATCTTAGCATCCATGGATATCGACAAGGCGTTCCTCAAGGGTTTGACCTATGAGGAACTTGCCCATGCCACAGGCGAGGAAACTCGCATGGTCTGCTTCACTCTTCCACCGGGAAGTGCCCAGGTACTTCGTGCACTACCCGGCTTCTCATCCTATGACGAAAGCCGACACTGCCTCAGATGCCTCAAACCAGGAACGGGTACAAAGGATGCTCCAAGAGCGTTCTCTTTCAAACTTCGTACGACCACACGAGCTATGGGTCTTACACCGACCAGTTATGACCCTGAATTTGAATTCAGCCAAGATCTGCTAACGGCAAAACATGTCGATGATAATAACATGACTGGTCTAGAGAAAAATATAGACGACTACGTCCAGCGTGTCGAAAAGGTGTTTGGCAAATGCAAGCTAAACAAACACACGCATACGAACTGCGCCGTTCGCTACACTAAGAATGATCAAGGGGATGCGATTATGGATCAGGACGAGTATATCAAACAACTACGTCTTATCACACACCCAGAACTTACAGGAGCGGCGGCCGATGCCAAAGCCACGAAACTCATTACCGACATGTTCGTCAGCTTGCGAGGAGCCCTCGCCTATGCCCTTCTTATTCAAATCTGGCTCATGGTATACGTGGTCTCTCTCCAGAAAATCCAAGAGCCCGCCAATCTGCAAGTCAGACGCCTGAATGCTGTGTGACGCGAAAGCTGATCAGCAGCCCGAAACGCATCACCTTCCCTCGGATGAAGCCGACGAATGAAGTTGACATCCACAGCGATTCGGGGTATCGGAAGCTTACCGGGGAGGAGGATGATGAGACCAAGGGCTACGGCATACGCGGGGCGAATGTACTACGGCGAGGAAACTCGATTCAAGGCAAGTCCGTCGTTCACCTCTGTGACGGACTATGCAAATCACACCGACTGCAGGTGAGGTCCAGCTATGCTGCGGAGGCACTCGCAGCGGCGCATAACCTCGATGAGTGTTACCCTACGCTCATCACTCTCCACGAGCTCAAGGCAGGAGCTCTGACTCCACGACAACTACGAGATATGCGTGAAGTTGGAGGCCTAGCCATCAAAGTATCTCTTACCATAGACGCTGAGTCCGTTTATAAATCATTATCAAGCAAGGATCTTAAGATACCGACAGAACGGACCCTGCTTGGACATATCAGTTGGATACGTGAGCTTATGGATATAGGTATAGTACATAACGTGCAGTGGTGTGATACTAGGGATATGACCGCAGACGGGCATACAAAGGGAAGCATCGATCGGGAGCTGCTTCTGGAAGTGATGTCAGGCACCCAGTCATTCAAGTATGACGTTAAGCAGTTTGTTCCCTTTCGGGGTCCCGAGGACAGAGACAAACCCAAGTCTAATCAATTTTAGTCTGTCCTTGTTGCCCCCGCGGTCCGATTTGCCAGCATGGGCGCCTACTATAGAGGCGCCCTTCTAGTTGCTCGGAAACGAGCCTCACATTTCACGCCTGGCAGCGAGCCGGCTTTGTATGACTCAGGCTCTTTGCCTTAATACATATTTGCTCGGTAAGGTATGGCCTGTTTGGTTTGCCTCTAACTGAGCCGATAGCCCTTCATCGTTCGAAGGGGCTATCTTGTATTTGCGCGAAATGCCTTGCGAGGAAACTCGCCTTACAGTCTGGTGTTAGGCCAGACTGTACGCACTGTTTTCTTTCTTGCAAGCAGTCGTGCGCGCGGCCTTTGAAAAGCCTAACGGCTGCGCGGCTATGCTCTCCGTCTCCTCCCCTCCCGACTTTAAGGGTAGCTCTTTGGGAGATGTTATAGTATCGGGAGCATAGCTCGCGTGCCGTTGCCTTTGGCTCAAGGCACGCGCGCCCTATTTGCCCGGACACTGCTTGTGTTCGCTATGTGCTGGAAAGACCGATACATCGATCTTATCCTATCATACCCGCACATTCCCCATACTGAACCACCGCAGCAGAGGAATGGACGCTATCTGCCATCCGATCCCCATGGTATCGGATGCTATTGGAGTTACCGGGCTCACTTTCGACTGCTTGAGGATGACGATGTAAATCGAGATGATGCGCCAAGAGGAAAAGTGGGAGGATGAAGTAGGTAACGGGGAGGAGGAGGAAGGGAGAGATGGGGAGAGATGGTACTGCTGGTGATGGTGGATATGATGGTTATGGTGATGGTGATGGTTGTCGTGATGATGATGATGATGAGGAGGAGGAGGAGGATCACGTCGAGCGGATGATGCTTTACCGTGAGGAGAAGGTCGACATGTTGCGGAAGGCAGTGGCGGCCTACAAGGCGCCCGTGCCCCGACACGCGGCTGCGGATCCCGCCGTTCCTCGTCCAGACCATGTTCTGTGCCCTTTCTCGCGCCTGCCCCTCTCTTTTTGCTTTCTCTCTCTCTCTCTCTCTCTATCTCTCTTTCTCTCTCACACCCCCTCTCTCTCTCTCTCTCCCTCTCCCTCTCTCTCTTTCTCCCTCTTTCTTGTTTTGTTGTTTCTCTCTCTCTCTCTCTCTCTCTTCCTCAACCCTTCAATATCTGTATATATACACATATATCTTTCTCTGGCTCTCAGTCTTCCCCACTTTGTGTCTCATCTCCTTCCTTTGCCAGTTCTTACCTCCCCTGATCTCTCCTCCTCCTCCGCTCATATCTCTTATGCACAACTCCCCATTGTCGCGCCCTTGCACGTGTCGGTAGGGCGGGCCAGGCGCTTCGCCTGAGACTTCCTAATTATTTGTCGTTCTGGAGCCTGAAAGTTGTAACAAGTTTGTGGATGGAGTGCAGGTGTTTTTTTTGTGCGGCTCTCTCGTTTCAGCGCCGTGCACATTCGTCTGCTTAGTTTGAAACCGTTTCAAAGATAAAGAGGGTTCCTTTACATAATGTGGTTCTCGTCTGGCGCCGCGCATATATGTTTACATGTGTGCAACCGTCTCAAGGATGGAAGGCCAGTTGTTTTCAAAATGCGGCTCTCGTTTGGGAGATTCGTGCTAAAAGCTTGCCACGGCTTTATGGATGGAGGGTGGGCCTTTCTCCAAATGTGGCTCTCGTTTTAGCGCCGCGTTACCGCCGCGGGCGCGCGCGACCCGTCGCGCGAGACGCCTCGCGCGACAGCGGCAGGCTTCGCGGCGAGGCAATGTCACGCGAGACGCACGCCCGCGCTCGCACGCATAGCAGGGTTGCCAAGCTGCGGCAACTCCGCGGGGGCGCGGGGGAGGGAAGGTGGGGCGGATGGACCAACACGCATCCTGAAGCTGTCACAGGCGCCCCACGAAGCCACCTGGGATCTCAGCCGAGGCTTAATACTGGCTCGGCTTTTCTGCCAACGTGCGAAGGCTTAAGAGTGGCTCGGCAACGCTGGCATACCTGGTGGGGGCAAGAGGGGAGAGGGAGGAGAGAGGGAGGAGGGGAAGGAAGGTAGGACGAGGGAGGGAGGAGTCGTCGTCGTCGTCTTGTCGTCGTGGTCAGTGTTTTCCTCGTCGTCGTAGTCGCCCACGTCGTCGTCGTCGGCGTCGACGCCGTCGTCTTCGTCGCATTCATCGACGTCGTCGTCGTTATCTTCGTTTTCGTTGTGCTCGTCGTCGCTGGCGTTGTCGTCGTCGTCGTCGTCGTCGTCGTCGTCGTCGTCGTTGCGTTCGCCGTCGTCGTCGCCGGCGTCATCGTCGCCGCCTTCAATGTTGTCGCCGCCCTTGTGGATGTCCTGTTCGATGCATTGCGCTCTGCTCAAATGTCCTGCTTCGCTCGGCCCGCCCGCCCGCCCGCGAGGGTCCGCCCGCCCGGTCCGAGCGTTTCCATGTTCCTCATAATTCGGAATACCTCAATCGCCCCCCCCCCCCAGAGGACCTAATGGGCCCCCAGGCCACGATGCTGCTCCCCAGACTATCGGGGCCCCCCCTCCGACCACAAGGGCCCCCTCCACGGACCACGAAGCCCTCCCTCCAAGATTACAAGAGCGCCCCCCCCACCCCAAGATTACAGGGGCTTTTCCACGTGCACCATGCACTTCTCCCCAGGAAAGCACGACCCCTGATTGCAAGGGCCCTTTTCTCGGATTGCAAAGGGGGCCCCCAGACCACAGGCGCTCTTGTGCGTGCGCCAACGCATCTCGCCCCAGGAAGAAAGGACCCCGCCTGACTGCATGGGCCCCCCGCCCCGGAGTACAAGGGCTCCTTCCCCGTTTGCAAGGCCTTCCTTCCCTTGGACTACAGAGACCCCCCATCGGACAACAATGGCCCCCTACTCCGACTACAAGGACCCTTCCGCGCAGATCAATGATCGCCCCCCCAGAAAACACGACCCCCCCTCCCGGATTACAAGGTCCCTCCCCCCTGACTACAAGGGCCCCCCCCGATTGCAAGGGCCCCTTCCCATAGAAGACCAGCGCGTTCCTTCCCTGGAGAACCAAGCGCCCTCCCCATACTACAGAGGCAACGCCCCGGACTTCAAGGGCCCCCCCCTGGACTGCAAAGGCCCCCCGCGCATAGTCCAACGCAGCCCTCCCGGGAAAAATGAACCCCGCCCGGATTACAGCGTCCCCGCCCTGACAGGGGGGTCTCCCCCGCGATATATATATATATATATATATATATATATATACCTATACGACCACCCTTCGGGTGATAAGGAGGTTCGGGGGGGGGAGGATGCAGCGTCTCACTCGATCGGTCTCACTATCCATCTCACTATCGGTCTCGCTCGATCGATCTCCCTCGATCGATCTCACAACCCATCTCACTCGATATATCTCATTCGCTCGGTCTCACAATTGATTTGAATATCGATCTCACAATCGATCTCACATTCGGTCTCACCATCGATTTCACTACCGATATCACCATCGATCTAACATTCAACGTCATCATCATCACCAACACCATCATTTTCATCGTCATCGGGACCATCATCATCATCGTCATCATCATCAACGCCATCATCATCAGGCCATCATCATCATCATCATCATCCCCATCATCATCTCGTCATAGTCAGGAACATCATCATCATCATCGGCACACAGCCTTCGTCATCATCACCATCAGCATAATCATCATCATCTGGACACCAGCATGGTCACCATCATTGTCATCGCCAACATCATCAACAACATCGGGACACCATCATCATCATCATTTAATCATCAGCATCATCATAATCAACAGCATCATCAACATCATCGGGACACCATCATCAGCAGCAGCATCATCGGTACACCATCACCATCACCATCATCATCACCACCGTCATAATCATTATCATCGGGATACCATAATCATCATCAGCAGCATCATCATTACCAACATCATCATCAACGACAACGGGCAGAAACATCAACATCATCGTCATCTCATCATCATCAACAACATCGTCAACATCACCAGCGGGACACAGCCATCGTCATCAGCACCATCAGCATCATCATCATTGGGACACCATCATGGTCACCATCGTTGTCATCGCCAAAATCACCAACAACATCGGGACACCCTCATCATCATCAGCGCATTATCATCATCATCAACAGCATCATCAACATCATCGGGGCACCATCATCATCAGCAGCATCATCATCACCAACATCATCATCAATATCATCATCGGTACACCATCACCATCACCATCATCATCACCACCGTCATAATCATCATCATCGGGATACCATAATCATCATCAGCAGCATCAGCATTACCAACACCATCATCAACAACGGGCAAAACATCAACATCATCGTCATCTCATCATCATCATCAACATCATCATCGTCATCATCACCAGGACACCATCATCGTCATCATCATCACCATCAACACAACCAATGATCATCATCAACATCATCATTATCGGGACACCGACGGGGCACCGACGGGACACCGGCGGGACACCGCGGGCCCCCGGCCGCCCGGAAGGGAGTCATTTGGTCCGGCCGCGCCTCAGCCACACGGGACACTAGCGGGACACCGGCGGGACACCGCGGGCCCCCGGGCCCGGAAGGGAGACATTTGGTCCGGCCGCGCCTCAGCCACACGAGACTTTCTCTCGCCCGCCCACGCAGCTTCGCCTCGCCCGCACGGCACGCACGAACACGAAACCGAAATCGATTTCCCGGTGGGGGGGCTCTCCGTTCCACTTCGATCTCACCCCCTCACCTCCGATACACATATATATATATATATATACACACCTATACGACCACACTTCGGGTGATAAGGAGGTTCGGGGGGGGAGGAACCAACGTCTCACTCGATCGGTCTCATTATCGATCTCACGATCGATCTCAGTATCGGTCTCGCTCGATCGATCTCCCTCGATCGATCTCACAGTCGATCTCAATCGATCTATCTCACAATTGCTTTGACTACCGATCTCACAATCGATATCACATTTGGTCTCACTATCGATTTCACTATCGATATCACAACCGCTCTCACAATCAACGTCATCACCATCAACAACAACAACATCAACATCAACATCATCATCACCAACATCATCATAATCGGGACACCGTCCTCATCATCAACACCAACATCATCATCATCATCATCACGGTCATCAGCATCATCGGGACACCACCATCATCATCATCATCATCACCATCGTCACAATCATCATCATCAACGTCATCATCATCAGCAGCATCGGGACACAGTCATCGTCACCATCATCATCAGCAGCATCATGATCGGGACACCATCATGATCACCATCGTTAGCATCATCATCATCATCGGAACACCATCATCATCATCATCTCATCCTCATCATCGACATCATCATCAGCATCACCAACATCAGCATCAGCATCATCATCGTCGTCATCATCGAGGCACCATCATCATCATTAACAACATCAGCATCAACATCATCATCATCACCATCGGGACGCCATCATCATCAACATCATCACAATCGCCATCATAATAATCATCATCATCGGGACGCCTAATTCATCATCAACCTCATCATCATCAACATCATCATCATCGGGACACAATCATAATCAGCATCGTCAACATCAACATCATCATACTCATCACCATCGGGACACCATCATCGTCATCATCATGATCATCAACATAATCATCATGATCATCATCATCTTCACCATCGGGACACCATCAGCATCTTCATCATCGTCATCATCATCATCATCGACATCATCATTATCATCATCATCGGGACACCATCATCATCATATCATCATCATCATCGTCCTCATCATCATCATCATCAGCAGCATCACCATCATCATCGACGTAATCATCATCATCATCAGCAGCATCATCCTCAGCATCACCATCATCATCACCACTATCATCATCTCATCATCATCATCATCATCATCATCGCGGGACACCGCGGGACACCGGCGGGACACCGCGGGGCACCGCGGGACACCGCGGGACTTTCGCGGGACACCGGCAGGACACCGCGGGCCACCGGCCGCCCGGAAGGGAGTCATTTGGTCCGGCCGCGCCTCAGCCACACGGGACTTTCGCGGGACTTTCGCGGGACACCGGCGGGACACCGCGGGCCACCGGCCGCCCGGTGGAGAATCATTTGGTCCGGCCGCGCTTCAGCCGCAGGAGATTTTCTCTCGCCCGCCCACGCAGCTTCGCCTCGCCCGCACGGCACGCACGAACACGAAATCGATTTCCCGGTAGGGGGGCTCTCCGTTCCAGTTCGATCTCACCCCCTCACCTCCGATATGTATATATATACATATATACATACATATATATGTGTGTATATATATATATATAGACAAAGATCTATATGTGCATAGATAGATATATACACACATACGTAATATATATTACGCGTTATACTACTAGGAAACATGCTTCCTATATTCGCCCTTGATAACTGGAGAACGGTATGTCGTTTTTCCCTGCGAGTAAGGACACATGCATTCTATTTTCCTTCTTACTAGAGAATTAACTGCTGCGGCCTTGTCACTCGATGCCGGGATTGCAACGCCAACCGTCTGAGAAGGCAGGAGGGAAAGGGATGGAGGAGGGACGAGGGAATGATCGATTGAGCAGGGGTACGGAAGGAGGGGGGAGGATGGAGGAGGGAGTAGGGAAGAGGCGGGAGGGAGGGAAGAACGATGAGGGAGGAGCGAGGGGGGGAGGAGCGAGGGAGGGAGGGATGGAGAGCGGGGGATCCAGGATGAGGGAGCAAGGGGGAGCATGGAAGCAAGGGAAAGGGAAGGATGATGGGATCAAGGAGCATTGTACGAGGGGGAGCAATGGCGCGCGAAGGGGGCAGAAGGGGAAGGGAGGGCATGGCAAGAGCACGGATCAGCTTGATCTTCCACCCAGAGTGCAGTGGAGGGTGCATTGACGCAAGAGCACGCGTAGAGCTTGCTTCTCCCGTCCGCCCACGACACAAGTCTTCGCTCAAGCCTCTGGCTTCTCCCGGTCCGCACGAGGCGTGCGCTTGTGCGTTTTCGGTGCAAAGAGGAGCAGCCTACAGTAATTACATGAGCCGCGCGCGAGCCCACTTAGGGGTCTTCTTTCTTCAGAAGCAGTTCGAATCAGTTCTGACCAATGCAATGCAAAGCATAGCTTGAAAGTGCCTATCATTGCTTGGCATTTCTTGGCGTTGCTTGGCACTGCTTGCAACCATTGCTTTGCATTACTTTCCGTCGCTTGGCATTGCTTGGCTTTGCTTGGCAGTGCTTGACATTGCTTGTGTTGCTTAGCGTTGATTTGAACTGCTTTGCATTGCTTGACGTTGCTTGGCAGTTCTCCGCATTGCATTGCATTGCATTGCTTGGATTTGCTTGGACTTGCAAGACATCGCTCTGCATGTATTTACCTTGCTTGGCATTGCTTTGCATTCACTTGCATTGGCTTAGAACTGGTCGGCACTGCTTGGCATTGGTTCGAATCGCTGCCTGGTTTGGCATTGCTTTGCGTTGCATTGCTTGGCGTTGATTTGCACTGCTTGGCGTTGCTTGGCATTACCTTGTCATTGCTCCGCAGTGTTTTGCCTTCCTTGGCATTGCTTGGCTTTGCTTGGCATTGCATGGCGTCGCTCTGCATTGTTTCGCGTTGATCAACATGGCTTTGCGTTGCTTGCCAGTGCTTGGAATCGATGTTTTGCATTGCTTGGTATTTCTTCGCATTTCTTCGCATTGCTTGGCATTGCTTGGCTTGCTTGGCATTGCATGGCGTCGCTTTGCATTGATTCGCGTTGCTTGGCATTGCTTGGCATTGATGAGCATTGCTGGGCATTTCTTGGCGCTGCGTGGCATTGGTTTGCGTTGCTTTGCATGAGTTGGCACTTCCCTGCGGTGCTTTGCCTTGCCTTGCATTGGTTTGCATTGCTTTGCATTGCGTGGAATGGTTGCTTTGCATTGATTCGCGTTGCTCGGCATTGATGTGCAGCGCTTCGCATTGCTTGGCATTGCTTGGTTTTGCTTGGCATTGCTTGACATTGTCGGGCTTTGCTTTGCATTGTTTGACATTGTCTTGCATTGCTCAACAATGCTTGGAATTGCATGGCGCTGCTTGGCATTGCTTTGTGGAGTTGCGTTGCTTGGCGTTGATTTGCAGTGCTTGGCATTGTCTGGCATTGATTTGCATTGGTTGGCATTGCTTGGCATTGCTTGGCATTATTTCGCATTGCATTGCTTGGCGTTGAGTGGCACTGCTTGGCAATGTCTGGCCCCAGGCGGCCCCGAGCAACGCTGGCAACCCCCAGACAACCCCGAGGGACCCCAGGCAACGCCGGCCAGGCAATGGCCTCGCAGCCATCCGTTTCTTCTTCGCCCTCTTCTTTTCCCTTTGCCCTTCCTCTCTAGTCCCTTCCCCAGGAACAAGGAAAACCGACACCATCACCACCAGCGCGAGCAGCCAGGGGTCCTCCTGGTGGTGTGGTCCCCCTGCTCGGCTCGAGACATCTCCAGTAGTTCGCCGGAACTCCGGTCTGCCGACGCTTTTTGATGTGTCCATCCTGGGTTTTGACCGTTCAGTTTTCGTGGGATGTTTGCAGCGGGAGCTCGCGTCAAATTTCAGACTGGATCTCGTCATTTTCCTGACGGCCCTGTCAGGCCCACTCGAGTCCCCCGCGCCCGCGTCTAACATCTCCCCGATGGTAGGGTCGCTTCTCCGCCCTCCGATGCCTCTTTCCTTTCATGGGGGCCGGCGAACAAACTACAGGGCCCGTTCACAGACATCCTCCGACATGACTTTTTCAATCAGAGGCCCTCAAGACGACCCAGGAGGCCTCCGAGACGGCCTCAGAAGAGCCCCAGGCACGCCCCAAGAGCGCCCCCGGAGCGGAGGCAGGGGCCGACTTTTGAGGTTCTCCGCCCAAATAACCCCTCAAGAGGCCCCAAGAGACCCCCAAGAAGCCCCCAAGAGGCCCCAAGAACCCTGAACAGGCCTCCAGCAAGCCCCCAGAAGCGCCCAAGACGGCCCTAGGACTGCCCCAAGAGAGCCCCAGGACGGCTGGAGGCGCCTCGACAAAGCGTCACAGCGTCAAACGGACAACACGGGAACCAACGTAATGCGCTCTATAGGCATGCTCTTCTTTGCTGTTCTCGTTCTCGCAAGTCACGCCCAGTTGTCCTCCAAGGTCGGGGTTCGTGGCAATATCAGGTTCAATCTGCTGCCCCAGAGCTCCCAACCCCTTCCGTGGGGTAAGTTTTCGCCCTGGGTCAGTTTTTGACGGTCCCGGCGACGGCTCCTGAGGATCGGGACTGAGGACAAAGTGTTGGTTGAATTTCCCATATCTTCGGATGGGGAGGACGGGGAAGAGGTGGCCTCGCGAGGAGGCACCACCCTCGATGCACTTGCCGGCGCCCTGGCTCCCGACAGGCCAAAGCGCAGGAGCTGACGCCGCCTTGGGCTGCGGAACAGGCGGCCTCCGAGGAGGGCGCTCCGCGCCACTGTCCTCTGGCGGCGGCGGTGGCGGAGGAGGAGGAGGAGGACATGGTGAATTATGTGACCCCATGCCTGGGGGAGAGCATGTAGCGTTAAGTCGGGCACGTCCCTCTACAGGAGGACAATTCAAAAAATAGTTAACGGGGCGATTGTTTGACTATTTTTTGCCATTTTGGAGTATTGTTGGGGCATTTTTCCCCGACCTGGCGGAGGGGTTCCCGTTTAGTGTCCCCCTGGGGGGGTTTGGGGGGGGACCCCCCGGGACATGGCCCCGGCCACGGGCGGAACGCCGGCGGAAGTCTGATGCAGGCTGAGGCTGAGGCCGAGGCAGGCTGAGGCTGAGGCTGAGGCTGAGGCTGAGGCTGAGGCAAGCCGAGGCAGGCTGAGGCTGAGGCTGAAGCTGAGGCAGGCTGAGGCTGGGGCTGAGGCTGAGGCCGAGGCAGGCTGAGGCTGAGGCCGAGGCAAGCCGAGGCAGGCTGAGGCTGAGGCTGAGGCTGATGCTGAGGCAGGCTGAGGCTGAGACAGGCTGAGGCTGAGGCTGAGGCAGGCTGAGGCTGAGGCAGGCTGAGGCTAAGGCCGAGGCAGGCTCAGGCCGAGACAGGCTGAGGCTGAGACTGCGGCTGAGGCTGAGGATGAGGCCGAGGCAGGCCGAAGCTGAGACAAGGTGAGGCTGAATGGGGGGGGGAGGAGGGGAGGCTGAGGCAGGCTGAGGCCGAGGCAGGCTGAGGCCGAGGCAGGCTGAGGCTGAGGCTGAGGCAAGCCGAGGCAGGCTGAGGCTGAGGCTGAGGCTGAGGCTGAGGCTGAGGCTGAGGCAGGCTGAGGCTAAGGCAGGCTGAGGCTGAGGCTGACGCAGGCTGCGGCCGAGGCAGGCTGAGGCTGAGGCTGAGGCAGGCTGAGGCTGAGGCCGAGGCAGGCTGAGGCTGAGGCTGAGGCAAGCCGAGGCAGGCTGAGGCTGAGGCTGAGGCTGAGACAGGCTGAGGCATCCGTAGGAATCCATAGGAATCCTCAGGAATCCCTAGGAATCCTTAGGAATCCGTAGGCATCCTTAGGAATCCGTAGGCATAGTTCAGCATCCTCAGGAATCCTTAGGAATCCTTAGGATTCCTCAGGAATCCTTAGGAATCCCTAGGAATCCCTAGGAATCAGGATTCCTACGGATTCCTAAGGTTTCCTAAGGATTCCTATGGATTCCTAAGGATGTCTAAGGATGCCTTAGGAATCCCTAGGAATCCGTAGGATTCCATTGGATCCTAAGGCCGTTGCCACTGCGACTGTCATTGCGAATGCGACTGCGACTGCGAGAACAGCAGAATTCTACAACTGGATTCTCACCTGAATCTTACGGGGAATGCTTCCAGATATGCTTATACACATCGCTGTTAGGTTGCTTTGCCGGGATAATTTGTCCGCCGCCAATGTTTGTGGACAGCCCTCGCTATCCCTCTGCCCGCTCGCCATGTGAACCCGCGACCCCCCTCCTCCCGGTGGCTCGCATGGAAACGTGCTCAGCTCACTTCGTGGCTCGCATGGTCGTGTGCTGAGCTCACCTCCAAGACGCACCGTTGTTCCCCGACCTGGCGGAGGGGTTCCCGTTTAGTGTCCCCCTGGGGGGGTCTGGGGGGGGACCCCCCGGGACATGGCCCCGGCCACGGGCGGAACGCCGGCGGAAGTCGGCGGAAGACGGCCGCTCACGGCCCGATTTCTGCAGACGCTTCCAGGAGGCACGGACGGCCCCAAGATGGTCCACAAGATGGACCAAGAAGGCCTCGAGTCGCCGAAAGAGCGGCCCAAGACGCCCAGGATTGCGT